ATGCCTTGGTGAAGATATCAACAACTTGATCTTCTATCATGCAGTAGACCACATCCACTTCCTTGTCTTCCACAACACCTCTGATGTAGTGATGCTTTAGAGCAATATGCTTTGATTTGCCATGACAGACAGGATTCTTGCTCATGGCAATTGCTAACTTGTTGTCACAAAGGATATGAGTTGCTTTCTTGTTTGTCACCAAAATCTTGCATAATTCTTCTCAGCCACACTGCTTGAGAAGTTGCAATTGAAGCCGACACATACTCAGCCTTTGCCGTTGATAGTGCAACTGATTTCTGCTTCTTAGACGCCCAAGGGAATACGCCTAGCCCTTAGTGTAAAAGTATAGCCAGATGTGCTCTTCAAGTCATCCACACTACCTCCCCAATCACTATCACAGAACCCATACAATTTTGGCTCAACATTCATTTCATACATAATACCAAAGTCAAGTGTACCTTGTATGTATCTTAGGATCCTCTTTGCAGCTCCATAGTGAATGCGACTAGGCTTGTGCATAAATCTGGACAACAAGCTTGCAGCATACATAATATCGGGTCTAGTTGCTGTCAAATACAACAAACTCCCAACTAGGCTTCTATACATAGATTCATCAGCATCACCACTACCATCTTCTCTTTGAAACTTTTCATTCACAACTAGAGGTGTTGCAACCAACCATTTTGAATTTTTCTAAAATTGTTTTTGCATATTTCTTTTGAGTAATAAAGATACCATAATTTGATTAAATGATACTAATTCCCAAAAAAATAATGCAACATGCCTAGATCACTCATCTCATATTTCCTCATCATGTCATTCTTGAAATTCAAGATCATTTTATCACTACTTCCAGTATAAACCAAAACATCAACATATAAGGAAACGATAAGGATATCTGAAATACCTTCGGTTTTGACATAGAGGGCAGGTTCATTCTCACTTCTTTGAAATCCCTTTTCATTGAAATATAAGTCGATCTCTCCATACCATACTCTCGGAGCTTGTTTCAAGCCATAAAGTGCATTTTTAATCTTATCCTCTAAGAACAAATCCTTGAGGTTGATCAACGAACACCTCTTCTTTTAGGACTCCATTTAGGAAAGCGGACTTGATGTCAAGTTGGTGTAGAAACCACCCCTTCTGCGTAGCTACAGAAATAAGGCCTTTGATTGTTTCATGCCTAGCTACCGGTGCAAAGGTTTCTTGGAAGTCAATCTCGGGTTTCTTAGAATAACCCTTTGCTACCAATCTAGCTTTAGTCCTTTGAATGGAACCATCTTGATTGAGCTTAGTCTTATAAATCCATTTCACTCCAATGACGAAGTTGTCACAAGGTCTGTCTACTAGTTCTCATGTCTTGTTTTTCACAATGACATTAATCTCCTTTTACATTGCAGCCTTCCATGTATCTTCTTTCACTGCATCATCAAAGTTTTCCAGTTCTACAACACAGAAATTACAGCTTTCATAGACATCGTTTAAGCTCATTAACTGAATCGGCGTTGAACTTGGACTCGAAGTTGTGGGATAGTGAACTTGAGGATTGTTTTTAGGTGACTATCGTGGAATTTCCAGCTCAATTTCCTCTTCATTTGGTCGATTTTCTTCTTCAATTCTGATTAGTGCAGATTCCTCTCAGATGGTTGCTAGATTGCAATCCCATGAAGATTTCTCACTAAAGAGAACATCTCTACAAACCACAATCTTTCTTCTTTTTTAAGTTGTAGAGTCTGTACCCTTTTGTGTGTGAAGCATAGCCTACGAAAATGCATCTTTCACTTGACTCATCAAGTTTTTGTCTTAGTTCTTTCAGAATATAAGCAAAGCAGATTGACCCAAACACTCTTAAGTGATTCACGGAAGGCTTTCTTCCACTCTATGCCTCAAATGGTGTCTTGCCTTCAACCACCACTATTAGATGCCTATTCATCAAGTAGACCGCTGTATTAACTACCTCACCCCATAAATATTGAGGCATTCCCTTGTCATGCAACATTGCCTTAGCCATTTCGACTATGGTTCTGTTTTTTTGCTTGGCTACTCCATTTTATTGTGGAGTGTAGCTAACAGTAAGTTGCCCTTCCAAGCCAATATCTTAATAAAACTTATCAAATTCTGTGGATGTGTACTCTCTTCCTCTATTACTTCTAAGAACTTTGATTAGATAACCAAATTATCGCTTAACCATAGCTTGCAACTGCTTGAAGATTGAGAACACTTCTGATTTCTGTCTTAGAAAGTATACCTAAGTCATTTTGGAATAATCATCCACGAAGATTAGGAAATACTTGTTTCCCACTTGAGTAGAGGCCTTCATGGGTCTGCAAACATCTGTATGAATCAATTCCAATGGAGCTTTTGCTCTCCAAGCTTTACCATGTGGAAATGAATCTTTGTGATGCTTCCCAAGTGCACAACCTTCACATATTTCTTCATTTTCTTGGATACTCGACAACCCACGCACCATTTTTTTTTTCTTGTAGCTTTTTGAGACTTTGAAAATTCAAGTGGCCAAGTTTTTTATGCCATAGCTTTCAATCTTCTTGCACTTCCATCTTGAGTGTATATTGAGTTGCATAGAAAGCTTCTACTCTTCCTCATCTCAATCTTAGCCAAGAGTTGTTCATGATTCCTTCCATCATATATCTTGCAAGTATTGTCTCCAAAATACAAGTAGTAGCCATGCTTAATGAGTTGTCCAAGACTTAGCAAATTTTGCTTCAAATCAGGAACTAACATGACATCCTTGATGAACATCTTTCCATTCTTCGTATGCACGTCAATAGTACCTCTTCCCAAGTATTAACTAGCTGCCCATTTCCCATCTTCACTCGGGTTTGGGTTTGTAGTGTCAATATTATGGAGAATGTTCTTGTTCGTCGTCATATGATTGCTACAACCACTATCCACAAACCAAACTTTAGCTTCTTCTTGGACGGTTGTATTATGACCAACATAAAACATATTGGTCTCTTCACCTTTAGCTTTGGTGTAGTGAGCTAGTTGATTATCTTTGTAAGTACAATCCTTTTTCATATACTTGAATCTGCTACACTTGTGGCATTTCACTTTTCCCTTGAACCAACATTCATCGGAATGAGCTTTGTCACAAATTTTTCACTTCGAAACATACGAACTCTTCTCAACCTTTTTCTTCTCTTACCCTTTCCTTCCCACACTTTTTTTTTTGCCTTTCCAATTCTTGTTGGACTTAGCTTTGCTTTGACTTGAACTAGCTTCAGTTTTTGGATTCACTGTAAGTTTTTGGAAAACATTTTCTACATCATTGTTGTCATGCCTGGATAGTCTCTGAGCAAAACCTTTGAGTAAACCAATCAATTCTTCAACACTCAAAGTTGACAAATCCTTAGTCTCCTCTATGATTGAAACTATGTTGTCATACTTTCTTGGCAAGCTAATTAGATACTTCTGAACTATTCTCTCATCAGACAAGGTTTCACCATAACTTTTCATTTGATTAATAATCTCAGACAATCTACTCAGGTAATCATCTAGCAATTCATCATCTTTCCTTCTTATGTACTCAAAATCTCTTCTCAAAGATTGGAGTTTGACTGCCCTTACCTTAGTAGAGCCTCTGTAGACTTTCTCCAGCACATCCCAAGTTGATTTGGCATCTGTCTTGTTCGAAATTCTCGGAAAAATTTCATTTGAGATAGCATTTTGGATGACCCCAAGAGCTTTTGCATCTCTCTTGATGTTTTCCTTCAGTTCCCTTGTTTGAGCCTTTATCAAAACCATAGTACTTAGAGGTACCACATAGCCATTTTCCATCAAGCTCCACAAATCATGAGATACAAAAATTGTTCTCAACTTTATCCTCTAGAAGTCATAATTCTCTCCAATGAAGATAGGAGTTCGAATTTCTCCACTACTACTTGAACCAGCCATGAATTTGAAAATTTTGATTCTAGGGTTTCACTTAGAATTTTCCCCCTTTTGAGAATCAAAAAACGCCCTATTATTTGATCAGATTGGCTTTGATACCATGTTGATATTCAAACAATCTTTCATCTCAATAAACTAAACACACGGATTATGCTAGAAAGATGAAGCAACATATGACAAATATGAGCAGAACAGGAAAATAGAGGGCAGTGAGCAAACGGGGAAACAGAGGGCAGAGAGCTTTTTCATGAAGAGATATTTTTTGATATTGATTGAATGTCCCAATACATGGGACAACTGATAAGGCAATTGGTCAGCTCTTTTACAAAAGATCTATGCCATACATGTGGCAATAGATTAAAAATCCAAACATTTCAAATTACATAAAAGGATTAACTTTAAAGCAAATGATTAACTTTAACAAAAACGACCTAAAGCGGAAAATCCATATTGAAGTGAAATTAAATTAAAAACTCTCTTAGAGAGATGCAACAAAACTAAAAACAAAATTAAACTAGAGGTTTCTTTCTACAACTTATTAATAAAAGCGCTCTAAACTATACATCTTAAAACTCATAACCCTTTAGATTATCAAAACTCATACTTTTGGTATAGTAGTGTCACCATCCTACCTAAAACACCAAATTTAGTCGTGTATATGAAGTGGGTGGTGTGGATCCAACAAGATGGTTGAGATTTGAGACAAATAAAAATCAGAGTAAGAAGAAATCACCAAAACGAGATTGATGACAAGGTTCAAACCATAATTAATCATTAGGCGATAAAAATTCAATCGAAATTGTCGTCGGTAAGTGTATGAAGAGTGCAAGAGAGCACTTTGTAAGAGAGTTATTGTGATAGTTGGAATAATTTTATCTTATAATTTTTTTGAAGAACCAATTATAATTGTATGCTCACAAATAAAATATACAAAAATTAACGATTAGAATTAACTAGCACGACTAATGCTAACATTTTTCCAGGCAACATAGGCCCAGAGTCTCACATCAAACGCTTGCAATTATAGTGGATGTCATATGTGCCTACCCCACATAAAAAACGAAAGGACAAAGCACAGTCAGATCTTCCACAATCCACATGCAAAAGTTTGTTAGCAACTGCAGTGCCTCGGTCATCCACCAACCAAAAAACAAACTCAAAACATAACTCAAAAGATCCCAAAATCCCAAGGCACACAAGCACTTTTGACTTCATAAGAATACAATTGTAACCACTCATACAGACAAATCTGCATCTCCATGTCCATTTTTCCTTTCCAAACTCTTCACCCTTCACAAGGCTCAAGCTTACATATGCAAATAAAAGACCCATCTAAGTATAAATTTAAATTATGAAAAAAAAAAAAATTATAATTTGGTTTACATAGAAAACAAGATCCACAAGAAATGGCCTAATTAATAAATAAATCGGATTTTATAACTTCAAATTGAGATCAACACTTTCTCCTACTTCACCATTGCAATTGTTGTTTAGAGTGGTCGCTGCCCTACCATTTTGTGCCTTTGCTAGTGGGAAGAAGCTGTAGAAAGCTTGTTGTGGATTTGGAACACTTGGTCCTGGCTGGTAAATTGTGTCATCTGCATTATTCCCCTATAACAATTCGAATGAACGAAAAAAAAATTAGACAATTAATGAAATGAAACTGCTAAACAAAGTTAGCTAAATGAGAAGTGGGCTGTGTTGATTATCGCACTTGATAGTGAAATGATTCAAAATCCGGAATTTCACGGTTATGAAACGCAAGATAAGATGGAGGGAGGTTGAGCTTTGGGCTGGGACATGTCCAACTAGTTGAAGGAGGGGCTAGGGTGAGAAAATCTCCATTGACACTCCCATTTTCTTTGATGCTGCTTCTTGAATTCGACTCAGAAATTGAAGTTGAGCATGAAGGCCCTTCTCTGAATATGGTGCAAAGGAAAGAAAATCCATGTGAGCAAAATAATGTGCTTGGTGTAAATAAATGGAAGATAATTAGAGATAAACTGACCTGAAATTTGTTTTGATTGCTGGATCAAAATTAAAGGCGGATCTGTTCCCACATGAAGTTGCTTCATCGGCTCTTATAGGAGGAGCAACAAATGTAGGTAACTTGATGGAGGGGATTGGTGGATTCTCTAGAGAAAATGGATATGGCCTCTTCATGCCAACCATCTACTACATATTAAAGATAGTAAGAATTAATCAAATGAAGTATTATTCGAGTGATATTCTATATATTGATTATATTCTAATCTAAATTACGAGGAGAAAAATTGCAATTTAGGTTCAGAAGGAGGACCACATTGCTATAGTCAACTTGGCTACTCCTAGGTATGTATGAACACCAATCTCTTAGGTGCCTCACAAAATTATCAAACCGATTGTACTCAAATTCAAATTCAATTGCATCAAAATAAAACAAACTGAAATATAAAAGTATACAAATTCTTTCTGAATTCCAATATGTGAAATAGGATTTCCAAATCTAATGAAATCCCACTGGTTGGACTAATTCCCACTAGGAAAAGGAATTTGCAAAATAAGTACTGAGAAATTATAAATTTTGAGATGCTAAAATTAGATACATATTTCAGGAAAAAGAGGCAATCATATAGGCTAAATATAGAGGTGAACAGAACAAACCTTTTCTTCATCCGGCCACATAGGAGTACAGTTGCTGTAATAGCTTTGGTTTGAAGGGGGCTCTATCTGCAAATTTAGTACAGATGATGAATTTGCTGTTGACAGATTAACCTGCAATATTTCCCATACACCAACAATTCATTCTCAAATAGAATTAAAAAGAGTGGATCATCAAAAGTTCATTAATTTCTTCACGTAACTAAATTTTATTTTTTTTATACGACGATATTCTAAACTACTTTAATCTACAAAGAGGCACGCTATCCTGAGTTAACTTGCCTAACTTGAATCTAACATTTCTTCACATAATTAGATTTTTTCTAGAACTACAAAGAGAAAGGGGAAACCGAAACAAACAACGAAGAAAATAGAGTAGAAAGAATGTGTTACCATTGAAGGAGGAGGAGGAGGGCGGTGGAGGAGGAGGCTGCTGGTGATGAAATTGCTGTGTTCTTGTTGGAAAATTGGAGAGCGGCCAAAGGGAGTTGTTGTTGCTGGACTCAAAAGGCAAATTCATAGTAGACCTGAATGCCAATCCAGGATCCAACCCAGGATTACAACTCACCTTCTGATCAAGAATATTAAACTCACATGGATTCCACAAGTTGGGAACATGATTCCCATTCCCACCACCATTAATGTTATTGTTGTTGTTATTATTTCCCACACCAAATGGAACAGTTCCACTGCTGATCATTGGCTTCCTACCATCAACGCCGCTGTGGGCCGATGGAATAAACTGTGGATGGAAAATCGAGTTGGGGGAGGGCAGATCCAGTGATGGGAATGGGATTGAAGAGGGAGGCTGATAAAAATGCCTGATCGGAACCGAACTAGTACACGAATATGAAGAAGATTTTGTTGGTGATGGGAGAGAAGATGGTGGGGTGGTGGACAAAATTGCAGCTGCTGCTGCTTTCTTCTGCTGTTCTTCAAGCCTGATTTTCTCAAGCTGTGCAACACCAAGTCCTCTCTGTGGCACTTTTTTCTGCTTTGTTTTTTTGGATGAAGATCTACTACTGATGATGTTATTGCTTCCCAACCCAATAATTTCAGTGCTAGTGTTTTGGGTTTGTTCTTCCTCATGAGCCATTTCTTTTGCTATGTTAATAAATCCATCTACTTTTATAGCAACAAAAGATTGATAATAAAAAAGAGGGGATTTCTGGATCACACTCAGAAACTCAGGATTTGAAATGGGGATTTATGGGGGAAAAACTAAATCTTGATGGTGATTTGAGTTGGAGGAGGAACATGTTCTTGTGGCTTTTGTAGTGCTTGCTCTTGTTCTTCTCTTCCATGAATAAAAATTTGGGATTTTTATAACTTTTTTTTGGGAGTTTAAGGAAATAAAGAAACAAAGATTGGAGAGAGATACCCAAATCCTTGATTTTCAAGAAACCATGATTTGAAAACAAACTCTAAGAGGAATTTAAGATTACCCAAAATCTCGCTTGGGGAGGAACAAACCCAAAAGCCTAGCCAAGTTTTTAGCAAAACAAACAGTACAAAAATTAAAAAGGGAAAGGGGGAGAGAGAGAGAGAGAGAGAGAGAGAGAGAGAGAGAGAGAGAGAGAGAAGCGGAAGAGAGATAATCTGAGAGGTTTTCAGATTTTTCTCACATGTCCGAGAGAGATCAGATGACAGAGAGAGAGAGAGAGAGAGAGAGTATATGCAAATTTATGACCAAAAAATCTGTATTTTTTGTAGGGTTTTTTTGAAATTCAAACCATGCAAATCTAGAACACTATGATTAATATTTTTCTCAAATTTGTCGCCCACATTCTCGCTCCACTCCTCATTTGCTTCCTAGACCGACTCTTATGAGCTCTGTTTTCTCTCACTCACTCACTACTTTCTCTCCTGAGAAGACAAGTGAGAGCCAAAAGTCGAAAGCCGAAGGCCATAGCCATAAGCCATAAGCCAAAAGCTGAAAGCCATATTTTTGCTCTCAAATTCCAATTGGGTTTGTTATTATGAGTTACCAAATTGAGCTACGAACCAGACTGTCACCAATGCTTTGCTTGTTTGTTTCATTTTTAGGCATCCATGCATGGCTGGCTTTTGCAGCTTTAGCGTATAGGGCCTACCATCTCAACTCCCACGTACGCGGGACCCGTTTAAAGTATCCTCAACACGGACGCATGCATGGAATTCACCGCCATTAAGTTTGCCTAACGTAGTAACGTATAGGTTTATTGGATAATATTACGAAAACAAAATTTATAAACAAAATTTACAAATTAAATGATGTGTTATCAAAATAAATGAGCACGTTTATCAACGTTTAAGTAATAATTCAATCAACAACTTCCATGTCATTTAGTTTATAAAGTTTTGTCTACAAATTTAGTTTCCTTAACATTATCCATATCTACTAGCATGTTTTTGGAATTTGAAAAGTATAAAGTGTTGTAATATGGGAGTTTTCGCATTCTTATTTGGACAAATATCATATGCATTTTAATTTAAATATCGACATTGTGTTCACATGGAAAAATTCCTTTTAAATAACACAAGTACAAACTTTGATACTACCCTTGAATTTACATACTAGTTTCTTTGATAGGAAAACTAGAAGCACTAGAAAAACAAACAAATACCATATGCAAACTATTCTTATACAATTTGAGATAAGTGTTTGTTGTTTTTTGCAATGATGTTGAAAACTATAAATTAATCTAGTGACGTGAGTTTTTAGTTTTATTTATTTTTATTTTTTTTTTTATGCAGTTTGTGCCTCCTTTAATTTTACCCTTTTCTGTTTGTTTCATTTACAATTTTGTTAAGATTTATGTCTTGTACGTACGGTTGAGGTTTTTAAATGAATATCATTGACTAGAATGAGTGAATGACATGTTACATGTCTTTGAAGTTATCATTGTTACTAATATATGTCCTATATCCTTGATGGACAATCAGTTGGATGATCATTCTTTCGTTATAACATTGTTGTGCGTTCATTATGTCATCGTTTATCTTTGGGCTAATTATCCATTCTTTATCTAATTATCCATTCTTAATTTAAAGCGAAATTGTTTATCTTTCAAGGCAAAAAATAGTAAAAAAAAAATGTGAGAACAGAATGACAAATTCGACCCCATCCTCCATCGTCATACCTAGGGATGGCAACGGGGTGGATTGGGTTCGGATGTGCCATCCCCATACCCGAACCCATTTATTTTCCCTGAACCTGAACTCGTAGAATTCCCGAACGAATTTTCCCCATAATCGAACTTATCGAGTGATGGATTTTTGATCGAGGAACGGTTTTTCGCATTATGATATTTATATATTTATTTATATTATTAACTAAATGAATAATATTAAATAAATTGATATTATTAATACAATTGATACAATGCATCTAATAAGTAATATTAAAAATTTATATTACTAAGAAAACATTTACACTCTTAAAATTACTAGCATATGGGCACACACAAAGTGTGTGAGAAAATTTTTTATTTTTGTTTTTGAAATAGAAGGAGAGAGAGAGAGAGAGGAAGAGAGTGATAGAGAATGTGGGAGTGGGAAGGTTTTTTTATTTTATTTTTAATTGGAGATATGTTAGGATTACATGTAGGTGAGGCTTTGAAAAAAAAAACAGTAAAATTTGGTTGTGTGAAATTACATTTCTGCCCTATATTTCTTATTTATGTTCTTTTTTAATTAAAGGGTTAAACTAGTAATTTCATAGGGTTTTAGCTGACAATGAGTGTTTTATTAATTAGTAGAGATAAGCATATAATTCATATTATTAATGATATAAAAGTAAATAATTTATTTCATATTTAATAATGCATGATTATTAACAACCCCTTTTCATATAATAAATATTTATATTTTTTTATTCATAGATGAAATTGTTCGGTTTCGGGTATGGGTTCAGGCCGGATACCCCAATAACCACAACCGAACCTGAAACCGAAACATTTACCCTACGGTTACCCATAACCGTAAAATACCCTGAAATTTTATACCCAAAACCGAACCATTCGGATCGATTACTTACGAGAATCGGATTTGACGGATTAAATTGTCATCCCTACCTACCCTCATTGTCACTCTAAACTTAATCCTTTCCTTTCTATACTTTAAATTCAACTTGTTAGTTTCTATTTCCTACTTCCTATTAATGGAAAGTTAGTGATAACAATTATAAATGATTATTAATGGAAATTGAATAGGAAGTTTACGTACAACGTTAACTTATTTTGAACGTTCTGCTTTATAAGAAAAGATGTTCTACGGTTCATATTTACTTACGAACTATAGCAAGAACATAGTTGAAGATAGATATACAGACTGGATCAATTTTTATGTTTCCCCCTTCCGATTGGATATACGTGATCAAAAGCATCTGTGAGAACATCAATGTTATATATAAATTCGTATACTTTCTGTTACCGGAAAAAAATAAATCGTATACTTTCAATAATAACTAGATGGTGTGTGTGATGATTTGAAACTGAAGAAAATAAGTTCACGTTTTAGAAAAAAATGTGTTAACACAAGTATATAATTTATTCAAAACAAATACGCCTCATGTTATATATTCGGCTCTCCAGAATGGTATACCGCATCAAAGAAAAAGTAATTTACACACACCCACACACACACTCATAGAGACATACACACACACACATACACAAATGATTTAAAATCTACACTAAATTCATGTAAATTATATTTAGAACCTATAAACGTTTCCAAAAAAATTAGAAGACATATATCATATATATGCATGTCTCAAAAGAACTTGCTTAACTTTCATACAAATGATATATTTGCTTTTAAGTGACCATCACTTGGTTTTTTTGATCACCAAATGTTTTAAGAACCAAGACGTATAGTTCCGCTTGATTCAGTTTTATAGTAATTAAGAGAATAATTAAAGTATTAGAATAGGAGATTTCTCAAATTTAATGGTGATCAAAACTTGGATTTAGGTTTTAAGTTCAATCTATCATGAAAAATGAAAATCTACCAAAATTGGACACGCTAGATCCTATTTACTTTATTTATTTTTCATTTGGTTTATGAGCCATGAGCCGTTAGTTAAATACTTTAAATTCAAATTCCATCCAATAAAAATTTGACAGTAATATCAGATTCTTAGCCAATTCAAAGATTTGAGTCAAATTAAGGTAATCATAATCTAATCATAAATTTGATAATCTGAAACAGAAAATAGATAACACAAGTTGAGAGGTCACTATATATGATTGAATCCTCAAATCTTGCCTTGTGACATACCAATGAGCAAAGCTAATATCTACCTTTCCTGAAAGACCCCACTTTGGCCACAACAAACTATCCCAACTTTCTCAAAACAAAACAAAAATGGTGCCTTTCAAGAAAAACCAGCCACCCACCATCCATATATTCCATAGGGGACTGTGGAGCCTCTATGACACCACTCCTTTTGTCACATAAGAAGCCAAAGATTTTGTTGGATTCACAAACTATAAGGCATCCATCATAAATATAAAGCATCTATCA